CAACCACCTTCACTCAGCAGCCTCTGGCCTGTCTGCCCACCCCTGCCTTCTCCCTACCCTGCGGCATCCTGGAGCGATGTTCCGGTGTTTCAAACCAGATGAGCAGGTTCACCGCGAGCTGGGGGAAGAACTGGCTGAAGGGCAGGGCTCAAAGGGTCATAGTGAAGGGGGCTACACGTGGCTGGCAACTGGTTGCCGGCAGTGTTCCTCAGGGCTCAGTTCTGGCACTAGCTCTGTTCAGTGTATGTATCAACGATCTGGATACAGGAATTGAGTGCCACCATCAGCAAGTTTGCTGGTAATACCAAACTGGGAGGTGCTGCTGACTCTTGAGGGACAAGAGGCCTTGCAGAGGGATCTAGATAGATTGCAGCATTGGGCACTCATCAATGGCATGACATTTAACAAGAATAAATGTTGGATTGTGCACCTACACCAGACAGAGTAAGGCCAGGCACAAGTATAAACTGCGAGGGGAGTGGCTGGAGAGCAGTCCTCCTCCAGAGAGGGATCTGGCGGTGCTGGCCAGCAGCAGTCTCAGTGTGAGTGAGCAGAGTGCCCTGGCAGCTAAGAGTGCAAACCACATCCTGGGGTGCATCAAACACAGTGTAACCAGCTGGTCAAGAGAGGTGATCATCCCACTGTATTCTGCGTTGGTGCAGCTTCGTCTTGAGTACTGTGTGCAGTGCTGGGCCCCACCATTTAAGAAGGATGTGAAGGTCCTTGAATGTGTCCACCGGAAGGCAACAGAGCTGGTGAGAGAGCTGGAAGGCATGTCCTGTGAGGAGCAGCTGAGGGCTCTGGGTTTGTCTAGTTTGGAGAAAAGGAGGCTGAGGGGCAACCTCATGGCTCTCTGCAGCTTCCTGAGGAGGGAAAGTGGGGAGGGAGGTGCTCAGCTCTTCCCCCTGGAATCCAGTGGGAATGGTTCAAAGCTGTGTCAGGGGAAGTTTAGACTGGACATGAGGAAGCATTTCTTTACCGAGAGGATGGTCAAACACTGGAACAGGCTTCCTGGAGAACTGGTCCATGCCCCATGCCTGTCAGTGTTTGAGGCATTTGGACAATGCCCTTAACAACATGCTCAACAGGACTCTGAACTCCAAAGCAGTGGCAGCTGCTGCCCCAGCTGAGCACAGCCCGGCTGCGCAGGCAGTCGAGGCAAGAGAGAACCACATGCTTGGTTTTAAAGATGTGGGATTGCAGCATCTTTACTTGCTAGAGGCCACACATGGAGCAATGTCTGCATTACACAATAGCCCAGAAAGAGGTGGTGGTGCAAGAGGAGCTTGTTTAAACACACACAGGGACTGCACAGTCTCTGATGGAAGCATGAGGGGCAGGAGGTTTCCCAAGCCCGGACTATGACCCTGGGACAGATCTTTGTCTGGAATGGCCGGACTTTGCTTGTTCCTGAACTTGCGGGCTTTCTGGCAGTTGGTGTGTCAACACAGCATAGTGAGCTCCAGCATCCCATTGTAAGGGACCAACGGCACCTTCTGAAACAAAAGAACAGTTCTGGCTGTCTGAGCTGTGACTGTTTCTGTGGCTACCAGTTGAGCAAGCTGGTATGTTTTCTGTCGGAGATTAGAAGCTCACAGCTTTATGCAATTACCTTCAACAGCACAAGAGCCAGAGCCTGTATCTCATCTTCCAGCTTCCGGTGACTGACGGCTGTGGCGTAGACCAGAAGAGAGCCAGGAAACGGGTAAGCTCAAAGGTGGCAAACTGGTGTGGCCAGCGGCCAGGGTGCTCCCTCCCAGCCGCTGCAGCAGGAGGAGAGCCTCTGGCTGCAGGCAGGAGGGCTGGGTGCAGGGTCAGAGTCTGGCAGGGGTTCGGAGGCTGACTGCAGTCATGTTTTCTGATGGAGCTGACGCATGCTTCGTGCTCTGACCAGCACATGCTGCAGGCAGGCCAGGGTGGGCCAGGCCTGTTGCATCCACTTGTGCAAAATGTACGCGCTGCAGGCCAGGTGTACCCTGGCTGTGGTGTACCCATGGTGTGTGTGAGTGTGGTACAAGTTAGCACCTTCTGCCCCAGTTGTGCCCAGACCATTCAGAGAGGATTTCTGCCTGGAGAAGGGGCTCCATCCAGTGAAATGCAAATGGAGTCACTGCTTTATGGTCTGTGTTCTTGTTCATAAGTGAATGATACTGCAGTTACAGCCCATGTTCAGCTAGAAAAATATAGGTTTTTCTCATCTTTTAAGCATAAATTGACAATGTCTTCCATGTTGCTCCAAAGAAACTAGCCTTTCAATCCCCTGTTGAAAACCTGATGAGTGAAGTTGGGTTTGGTGAAGCCAAGGGGAAAGGAGGACTTAAACTGGAGGACCTCTCATGATGAAGCGCTGCGCTGGGCATTGCTCCTGCATCATGCTCTTTGCTGTGGGACTCGGGTCCCTTGTGGGACACGTCCCAGGGCCGCGCTCCTCCCAGAAGCCTTGACAATGGTGGACAGACTAGCAGTGAAATCTCTTCCCATAGCCAAAGCCTTTGATAGAACCATAAACCTTAAGGGTATTTTTATTGTACCAGTAAACAGAGAACAGTAAACTTCTTTTTTTGTAGTTTTGATATTATCACCTGATAATTTAACTCAGCATTTCCCCTGTATTCTTGTGCTGGGAAACAGCCATGGCTATTCATTTTCTCAGAGCTACTTCTGATTTTTTAAACCCTCACTGTATTCCTCTTCTGTGTATCTCCCCCCCGCCCCGGCTGAAGTACAGTTTCCCATTGTCCTTTTTAAAGTAATTATCCTATAGGCTGCAATATCCTTCTCTTTAGCTGTCCTTGGAGCTTCTCCTCCCTTCCTTTCCTAGCTCCATTGTGAAAAAGCATGTGGTAGAAATGTACATGGTATCCAACACCTTTCTATACTTTGAATTATAGAATTATAGAATGCAGTGATACAATTTTCTGGGGCTTTTTGTTTTACATTCCTTTCCTAATGGCTACTAACACTTAATTCAGTGTATCGGGTTTTTAACTCGGTGACTGACTTTCATAAAATTGCTGTACCTGCTGAGAGAGCTTGGCTCCAAGTAGGGACAGCAGCCCAAAAACTGGCTTTGTGTATGTGACAGTTGGGATTATTTTCTTTATGATGTAGTTGATTCTGCATTTATCTCCATATGTCTTTTTTGGTCTTAGTCACATGCAAGTCATAAGATGTGACTACAATGACCTGCAGTCAGCTTTTTTGCTTTTACAGGATGTGATAGTGTTGTTACTCATAGTTTTCTGGGAGTGGGAGGGCAGGGAGGTCTAACAGAGTTCTTAGAGGAGGTCTGCCAAAGGTAACCAAGTCTCCAAAGGAGTTAAACTGCTCTAAAGGAGATGAACTTTTCCCTAGGACGACTGGAAACATACCAAGAAGCCCTTGGCTTGGCCCGGCACCTCCCAACCACTTCATGCATGGATGCAACCTGTTGTTTCTGACATATTCCAGATGATAAACAAAATTGCACCTTGTTCCCAACCCTGTTTAATACTGAAACCAAAATTGCAACAGATTCAAACTTTTCCTGAGGACGTTTTAAGCAAGTGTCATTCCATTACATGCTGCTCCCTAGATTTCAGGGCAAATTTGAAAACAAGTGAAGCCCCAGTCTATTTTATCTCCTTTTTATTTTCACTTTTATACAAAAAAAAAAAAAAAGTCTGACATAGTCACATCAATGAGAACAAGCTGCAGTGTGCACTCTTGCAACAACAATCATATAAGGATTTAAAATACATTGTTTTATTTTTTGCAATAGCAATGTTAGTTTGCTTTTCCTTCTTAAATATCACCAACGCCAAATTGCTGAGCTTGAAATTCTTGAAAGTCCTCTGGGATGGTGTCTAAAACAGGAAAATATGCAAAAGTTTAGTGTCTTCTGGCAAAATCAAGGAGCACTTAATGAATTACCCATCTACTCTTTTTTTCAGGTAACATGCCTTTTCTTTTGTTTATACATTAAGAACGAATAGGGAATGTTTTCAGTTTGAGCTGTACACCACAGAAAAGCACAGAGGGGCTAACAAGACAGGGGTGCCGCAGTGCCAGCCCATAATGAAATACTATCAATCTTTAAATTACATTTCCACTCAAAAACTTTGTGACTTCCACTTCTATATTTTTATTAATAAACGCTGACCAGAAAGGGAGAAAAAGTGGTTGTCTTGCTTTGCACCCCAGACACGTTTGTTGTGTCAGTGTCTCTATTTCTCATGTATCCTCATTCAACTTCCCCGTGACGGTTTCCCATGCCACAAGAAGGGACAGAAACATTAACCCAAGGACCGATAGCAACTGGTAGAAAAATTTCAGAACTGGCGAAGGGAGCTGGCGATGGGTCAATGTCGTAAGAGTAACTACAGTTCTGTTTGAAGCATTGAGTTAGCAGTGCGCCTTTGCCAGCTCCCAGAACATTTTATCTGCGGAGCCACAGAGCTAACTGTAGAGCTCAAGCTGCAGCCAAAGATGGACCCACAGCAATGAAGCTCAAGGGGCCTGACCTCAGCTTTGATTATTTCCACCTTGATGCTGCACAGGTAACTCTAAACTCAAAAAAGGAAGTAACTATATAAATACACACAGTATACACAAAAAAAAGGGAGTAAGTCCTCTGCTTTTTGTTGATCACATCTTTTTCTAAGGCTCGAAAATTCTTTTTAAGCTTTTTCTGCAAATGTAGGAAAGCAAGGATACTCGGGGACTGCAGAGACATCTTTGGGTGAGTTTCATTGACTTACTGCAGCACCTGCAGCAAAGCCACTGCATGCTCACCACCAGGAAAGTATCTGTGACTTCACTGGCAGCTTTGAAACATGCTTTCTGGTAAACCACCTGCTGTTTGAGACTCTTATCAAGTAATTTTTAATTGTAAGCACCACTGGCTAGAAGTTCCCCTGCAAGCACCAGCCTAGGTGTAGCGAGTGCCCAAGAACCAGGGTCCATCACCAGAACAAGCCACAGAACCAGGGTCTGCCAGTGCAGCAGCTGCGTCCACTGCAGACTCAGGCTGGGCTTCTTGGATCCACAGAAAGCAGACAAGGAAACTAGTCCAACTTGGCTGGTAGCTTATTTTCCTAAGGCTGCCTTGGTCACGTAGGAATTGATGCTGAGAGGAGGGAGGCAGCCCTCCCAACCCCACTTCAAGCTAGCTGAACTGCTGCCAGGGCAGACGTACCCTGCCATGGTCAGCTTCTGTGTGAGTGACCAAGGTTTGACTTATTCCACAGAGGGGGAGATCAGGGCTAAGCTGCAAGGCTCTTACTCCAAGAAGAGTGAGCCAGCCCACTTCCACAGAGCCTGAGAAGGATTTCTCCGTGGGAGGAAGGGCATCGCATGATCTTGTCCTCCCACAGACAGGAGCAACCACCAAGTACACAAGCGACACTGATGCCTGGTGACTGAACCCACTGGCTCTCCAGATTTATTTCACCTCGTATTCACAGCTCGAGGCATCCTACATACATGATGGCTTCAGTATATTGTGCATGTACAACTCTTCACAGTTGGTTGGTTTTAAATAACGTTTCTAATTCTCTGATGACAGCTATACTACTTAGTTGGCACAATCTCTGCAGCAGAGTGACTGCTCTGGGAGGAGCGGCTGTGAGGTGTTAGTTCCCTTCTGGCTGGGCTGCAGTGTGCTGCTGGTGTCAGGGGAGGCGTTTCACAGCTGCGAATAACTTGTAAATGAAAAGCAAAGGAAAGGATGTAAAATGGCTTAATCCAACAGCCACGCTACTGGTTCTTCATGGTCAATTGCTAGTTGTTAGTTAAAAAAATGACATAGGAGCAACATTACCATTGCAGCGATATTTCAGGTTGGACCAAATAATGTTTTCCTGAGAGAAGCAGAAAACGCCAAGCCGTCCTCCACGCATCGTGGTGTCTATAGTTACACCAGAGTCTGCCACTAGGTCAGAGCCTTCATAAAATCTTGCCCTTAATAAAAGCAAAGAGCAGCTCTGTTAGGTCTTTTCCAAGGCTGCAACATTCATAAAAGTAATATTTCATTATCTGTGGTGCCTCTAGCCTTGGACGTGCTATCCTCTCATGTAGCCCAGGGGAGAAAAAGCAGTTAAGATAGCTCTTCTGTAGGCTGGGAACTGGAGCTACTCTGCGTGCTGGCAAGAGCTGGACAGGGAGACTGTTTTCGTGGTGGTTCTTTTTTCACATATCCTATAAAAGCCTGGGAATGTTTTTTCCTGTCCTCAGGCTGAGAGCTTCAACTCTTGAACATGTCCACAGTTGATAGTTATAGGAGAAAGAGAGAACCAGATTAGATCAGTTGAAGAAGGCCAGATGGGTACTGTCTCACACAGTCTGAAGCTAAACTTCCCAATGCAAAGTTTCAAACAAACTGTTTGGAACCTTAAATTTGACTGTGAGATTTCTTTAAAAATGTGAATATGATTAACTCCAGGAAGAGTTTTGATGATCTGGCATCTTCTTGTTAGAAAACCCATTGGCAAATTCCCAAATAATTCTGGGAACAGCTGCACCCTGCCAGCTCCCCAGCACGTGCCCTGTACCCAGGGCTGAGTGGGACCACACTGGAGCCAGCTGAGCTGTTGCAAAGCTCGCTACACCAAGCCCTCAGCCTCAGGGGTACTGGGTAAACGACTTAGAGGATGATGAGCCTGGAGGGCCCCGGTTTGGATGAAGACACTGCTGATCTGACATGCCAGAAAATAGCAAGTGGTGACTGGAAAGAAAGTTCCTGTGTCTTTTTATAAAATAAGAAAAAAAGAAACCAATTCCTGTTATGTTCCTGAGCTTTTTTCCTGATTTGCTGAGGCAGTTCAAAAGTATCTGTACAATGAATAGAGCTTCTTGTCTTTCAAATTTCCGTGGGAGAGGCTGGCTCAAGTGATTTTTTCCTTGAAAACCTTTCCAGAAAACCTTTGTTAGACACATATTGTGGTCTGTGGTATCTGGCCTAAACAGACCGCAGTGAGATGTGGACAGAGAGCTGGCAGATGTTCGCTTTAGGCCTGGCTGCCTTCAGTTTTTGAAGGATTTTGTGACACTGATTTTGCCACTTTTCCCAGTTGCAGGGGGGAATTACTTAGGCTGGCTAAAGAGGATGCAACTACATGCAGATGTTTGCTCATGAAGCAGCTTCACAAACAGCTTGGTATGAAGGAACATTGCCACCCAAAAATCTGTTCACTACTGCCCTGTGGCTGGGACACAACAATTGACAGTCTCAATGTTCTTAATCCATTTTAGCATAAAGTCAAACACGCTCGCTCCAATTACCACTGAGATGATGCTCTGCACCAGAAAAGTGGAATAATGATACCGTCAAGTTACTGCATCTCAGCTGCAGGGAGCTGATTTTTTTAAAACAACAACTGACTTGATTTACCTGTATTTCTGTTCTATTATAAGGTTGCAAAATCTGAGCTGATGATGCCAGAGCAGTTTATTTTTCACATTTTTACATCAGCTTTGATCTACATGTGTAATTCC